AAAAAATATAAACTAAACCAAGCAGGCCGACCGTTGTCTTTGAACTGCGTGTGACGTGCGAGGCATACATTGAGTCTGAATGTTCAGCCAAATTTGTAGATTGATCTGTTGTACTATGGGAGAGAATGTCATTTGTCTGGTTTGCGCAGTTGAGTGATGATTTGTTTCGTGGAATGCTTGAACCGGTTCGGAAGGCTTTTATATACACGGATAAGCATCAGTTTCACGACGGCCACTCAACGCGCACCCCGTATCGTACAGTGAAATACATTGAAGCGAACTTCACCGATCTCTAACAAGCTCACAGTGTACACAAAGTAAGTGAGAATGTGTAAAGTGGACAGGAATTGGGCCTGTTTTGAAGGGAACCAAATAAAGTGAACCTCTGTGGTCGACACATAGTGAGCATCCATTTGTTCATGAATACTTATTCAAGAATTCTAGCCTGGAGAACGCTATTGCTATGGGTTCGTTGCTATGTCCTTCAGTCTTTTGTACCCCAACCTGGACGGTGGGAGACTCCTACCCTACATAATCGCTCTGTATATTTCCTCATGCCTTGTATGCTCGTCATCTTTAAACCTCTGAATACTTCCCTTAAACTGCGAAGGATTTGTGATGTGCCGACGACAGCTCAGCATGTGCAGTGTGTTCTCATCAGCTAAGCTTACTAATCTTAATTCTCCACCGAATCATTATCTAATACTCACAGATGTCTCAGTATCGCCTACCTTTCCACCCTATCCAAGATGCGCAAAAATACTTAGACATTCACCGTCGAAGACTTCTGGACGATAAATATGTTCTACGCGCAAATTTAGAACATCGCAACCGTAAGGCAAAGCTAACCGCGCAGTGGCGCAGTATACCCGCTCTTCCATTTTCAGGTAGACCTCACATCAGCGCTGAAGGTGTTCCAGTCCTGCGTACTGCACTCGAACCTCGGAAATGCCTTTGGTTATCTCTTTTCCTGCTCTACCGTCACTTGTAGCGAAACAATCGAAGCAGGTGAAGGAATCCACCATCACTATTTTATTTATTTATAATTCACACTCGTCTGAGGCCAGACGGTGTGCCAAACAAATCATGGTAAAATAATCTTTATAAAAAATAAAATGTTCCACAATTTGCATGTGGACTGAGTACTGTCAGGTTGCCCAGGCCAAGGCAGCCTTCAGATAACCAAAACATGACCCACAAGGTAGCGGGCGGTGTTTGAAAACAACAGTCTGTTGGGAGCAGTTCGAATCATTCGCCCTTCGGATAGGGTCAAACGTCCAAGGTGCCCAATACACCTCGATGCCCAATTAAGCCGGTGACCACTGCCACAACCGGAAAGGTGTGGGTGTGGCTCCCACGCCTCCTGTTGGTTGGTTTGGGATCAGGTATTTTGGCCAACTCCCCTAGGTGAACTACCAGTGGTCTACCAACCCGGTTATAGCCCCGGATATCGGTTTTTCGTCCTCTCACTTAGGTGGGAAAACACCGCCCCGAGAAGGCAGTGAGTAGGGCTTCCTCAGCAGAGGCTGGTTGAGACGCTTGTTCGTATAAGAGCATTTCGCGAGGTTCAAGGGAAGGGTGACTAACCGCAACCCTAGACACCCACCCCCAACTATACTGAGGATTTCGGAGGCAACTAGATCCTGACCAATCAGCTTCAAAGTAGAACTAATGAACGCCTAGTCACGCAGCAATACTTGGCACTTTGCAGGTGCAAATTCGCACTACTCTTTCCAAACTTTTGTGTTCTCCAATATTTTTTCTGTGATGAATTTGAATAGGAATGACTAATTATTGCACTCCCAATTGACATAATTGCTGACTTCAGACGATCGCCGTAGACTAATGCACTACCAGAATTATGCAGGTACAGGCATTTCAGTAGGTTAACAAATTTCTGGGGCGCTCCTTTGCCAAGAAGCTAACACGTTAGGGCATCACGGTCAACGGAATCGAAGTTTCTCAAGTCAGGGAATGCTGCGATTGTTCGTTGACGATGTGTCTAACGTAACTCGAGGACTTGCCGTAACGTAAAGATTTTGTCGATACAACCGCGACCTGGTCAGAGTCCTGCTTACTGTTCATGAATACTCGTCTCTCTGAGGGACGTCAGGCAGCGAATTATCAAAAAAATGTTACTCTGGTGATGACTCGAACCAAATTTATCTCAGTGATTTGCGTAGACATCGCGTGATATATTGAAAATTAGGACTATCCATGATTTGCTGGAAGATGAAGGGGTGCTCTCTGAGCAAAATCTGATTGGCAAACCAGAAAAAGAATCGACGAAACAATCCCCTCCATCTTAAAATAGGAGAGAAGCCCACCAGACCTCACTGCCGTTCCTTTCTTCATCGGTTGAATACCACTTAGTACTTCTAGTTCTGTCAGGGGGTAACATGTTGCCAATGAAGTTGCGGCTAAAGTCACCGCATTAGCTGAACTATTCACTAAAATACGTTAATCAGCTACCAAGCCGCTACTCCTCATTGTGAAAGCTCTTCCCAATTTTATCGTAAACATTTTCGTTGATCTGTATTCGACGACCTTCGGTTTTGCTTATCAATGGAAGCAGTATTTGACTATTCCTAGATGCTAGCTATTTTGGCCCACCAGCTTTCCCAATGCTTTTCTTGAACCGGCCCTGTTCCCATGCTGATCCTGACAAACTGGAATCTTTTGCATTTCTTCTATCAGCATTCCTAAGAGGATCAACCTCTTTGACCAACCTCGGTCTCGGCTTAGCAAGTTAGGTCTGCTGCTGTTTGGTTCGATCCACTATCAATCTCCACTACATCGAGATGTTGCTGCCTCTGTCTAAGCTTCCTACAACGGATATAAGCAGCTAGATCGCGCAAATGATACTGAGTTAATAGAGGCAGGTTTCTTTCCGATGACTAATCGGTCGAAGCGTGAAGCGCTTCAGATTCAACACCAATGAATCTGCAATTTTTGTCTACCTTGCCACACCAACGGTAGCTTACGGTTACGTTGTTAGTTTGATACAAATTGCTCATTGAACTAAAAAATCATGTCCTTCCTTTCAGAGTTAGGTCGAAATTTGGTGCTAGATAAAACAACAGATGATCTACGCAGAAGTGAAGTAGTTGATTGCTGTTGTTTGTTCGCTGGACGGGCAGAGCAAGACGCTCTCCCAGATAGGTTTCGGGTTCATTCAACCTGTGTTAAAATCACCTGCGAACACGATTGCCAGCAATACAGCTTATTTGGATGAGTACGATAGGTTTGTTTTGGTACCTTGGGACTACAGTAAGTTGAATGCGTATGCAAAATCGATATTTGGTTATCATCGGAACCTGATCGCACTTCTCACCTACGGTCACAAGCACTTTGGGGCAACTCAAGCGATACATGAGCGTTTGTTACAACAACCGGAATAGCGAATAATGGTACAATTCATGTTAGGGAAAGGTATCACAAGTTTGTATTAATCATGCATTTTCTTGTGGCTCTTGTTATTCTTTCTCTTGCACTTCTGCATTTATACTGTTTGTCGATTTCGCGCGTGGAGACCGGGGAGTGTAGTACAATTCATCAGTGTTACCATCGGTCTTTTTGGTTTGTTCAGTTTCACTGCCATTATCCTACATAATTGTTAATCTTTCCGACTCAGATAAGAACGGAAGCCTACGTATTCTTTGACTTTAACTTAGTGAACGTCAAGGAACCTATATGATAGTCCAGTAGTTTGTTCTCGTAGCAACTAATCATCCATTCTACTGTGAGCAAAAGATTACTTTGATACCTCCGTGTCTTTACTAATCTCTTGGTATGTCAACTAAGCTTGCATCTATACTCAGTCTGTTTTTCTATCCCTCTTCCGCACACTCTCATTTTCAAATATCGGATTATTTCAGTTCACTCCGGAGTTGGCCTCCAGACTTCGGGGTCATACGGATCAGGCCAGTTTGTCCCATTGTCGGAAGGCAGATTTTGTTAAACTTCCGGCTACCGGGAAGGTGATTCGGGAGCGAAATCCAAGCATCTTTTTGAATGGACATTTAAAGGTTCAGGTCAGTACTTCGATTTCACTTTCCATTATTGGCTCCGCGCTTAACTCACTTTGCAAGCTAAGTTATTGTAACAG